GGTAATGAAATGTCTGCAAGACAATAACCAAGCTCGGAGAGCCCTAAGGAACCCACAGTCGTCCTCGTCCTCGTCCTCCTCCTCCTCCTCCTCCTCCTCTCCACTTTACACACCCCACTTCCCTCTAGCACTGATGACGTTACCTAGTTTGGTAATGAAACGTCTGCAAGACAATAACCAAGCTCGGAGAGCCCTAAGGAACCCACAGTCGTCCTCGTCCTCCTCCTCCTGCTGCTGCTCCTCCTCCTCCTCCTCTCCACTTTACACACCCCACTTCCCTCTAGCACTGATGACGTTACCTAGTTTGGTAATGAAACGTCTGCAAGGAAACCACCAAGCCCAGAGAGCCCTAAGGAACTCACAGTCGTCGTCATCCTCCTCCTCCTCCTCCTGCTGCTGCTCCTCCTCCTCCTCCTCTCCACTTTACACACCCCACTTCCCTCTAGCACTGATGACGTTACCTAGTTTGGTAATGAAACGTCTGCAAGGAAACCACCAAGCTCAGAGAGCCCTAAGGAACTCACAGTCGTCGTCATCCTCCTCCTCCTCCTCCTGCTGCTGCTCCTCCTCCTCCTCCTCTCCACTTTACACACCCCACTTCCCTCTAGCACTGATGACGTTACCTAGTTTGGTAATGAAACGTCTGCAAGGAAACCACCAAGCTCAGAGAGCCCTAAGGAACTCACAGTCGTCGTCATCCTCCTCCTCCTCCTCCTGCTGCTGCTCCTCCTCCTCCTCCTCTCCACTTTACACACCCCACTTCCCTCTAGCACTGATGACGTTACCTAGTTTGGTAATGAAACGTCTGCAAGGGAACCACCAAATTCGGAGAATACCAAGGACCTCTTTCCTACGTAGAGGCAGGAATATCTCAAACACAAGTGTGGCTCCGTTAACACGCTGCATTATTCCCCCGTGCTTATAGCGCAAGCACAAAAGAGCACAAATGGCCAGAAGAATACAGCTGTGAAGTGGGTCAGCTGTTTGTTGACAACCCAGTTCTAGCAGAAACAGGTTTACAGTCCTTCATTCTTGCTTTATTTGCTCTGGATATTTTATTTTCAAGGAAAAGTGCCCCTTTCGTGCCCAGCCTATCCTTGGTGCTTTCACCACGTGCTAGTCAATTTCACGATCCCAGCGTGTCAATTTCATCATTTCACGAGAGCTGGCTTGCTTTGGTTTCTAATTCCCATCTTCCCCTAAGCATTTCCCACAACTTAACTGCGATGAAACCAGCGTTATAAAACGCAGCGTACTTGGAATAGCAGCAGAGAGATAATTACCTCGAAAAACCCCTTGCATAAAACCCATAAAAGTCAGAATAACCAGATCGTTTCTCTTCGAAGGAGAGAGGGGGAGAAGGAGGAATAACATGAGGAAGCAATTAGGAGAGAAACTTTCAAGAACAATTGCAAGAATGCGATACGGTTTCCTTGCAAGGAAAGAGGAAAATCAAGGTGGAAAATAGAAGCAGAAGTTGCTGTACAATATTTGCAACGTTCATTTATAGCTGTTGCATTTGCATTCATTTTTAAGGGGGGGGGGCGAGGAATTGAAAACTCCAAGGAATTCCATCCCGGTTGGGGAATTCTGGGAGTTGACATCCACAAGTCTTAAAAGTTGCCAAAAGTTGGGACACCCTTGATCTATTCTAATCCATCATTTCTGCTCTGGCTCTATTTGTTCTCTCCCTTGTTTATTTTGACAGTTTTTATCCAAGTTTAAATCACTATTTATTTTTTAAATCAAAAGCTGGCCCGGCGGCTCGCGGTCTGCAGAAACAGAGGAGGCTACGTTGGGGTGGAAGGATTAAAAAACGTAGCTCAGAGGTCTTCAAACTTGGCAACTTTAAGACTTGTGGACTTCAACTTCCAGAATTCTGAAAGTTGCCAAGTTTGGGGACCCCTGATGTAGGTTTTTTTTTTTAATTGAAAGAGGATTCTTTTTCCTCCCCTCCTGGTTAGAAAAAAACACCAAGTTTTGTCCCAGGGGCTGAAGGGCAAGGAACAAAGGAACCACGCTTCAGATTTTAACAGAAGTTTTGCAGAGTTTTGCCTCTGTGTTTTTCCTTGCTGGATGGAAAGAAAGTTTCCTCTGTCTTCCTACATCCTAATTAACCAAAGAGGTATTTGGCATATCCTGGCTGCAAGGGAGACCCTTCCTCTCCTCCCTTTGCAAAGGATTTTGTGTGAGGAGCCCAGAAAGTTTTCTCAAGCTATTTTCCAGAGTGGGGGCAAAACAAATGTGAAGCTCGACCATTTCCCGCTGCCTAAGCTGAAAGTCGGCCACGCTATTTTATTTTATTTTTTAAGAAGCTCAAAGCTTTTGCCATTTTTTCTTTTTACCGGGACGCATTCCTCGGATGATCCCTAGATTTGCAAACGCAGAGCCTGGAAAAACATAGCCGAAATGATTGCGCTTCTAAGACATATGAAAGCTGGCCTGGATAAGGAAGCACGCACGCTTGCTAAACTTGGCTCGTGCCTCCGAGCTGCGCTTGACTACAAAGCCCATGGTTACCTGCCAGCACCGACCCATGGAGGCCGTAATCCAGCACACCTGGCGGGAGCTCGAGTGAGGAAGGAGGTTTCGGTTTGGCAAAAGCCGACCAGCTTTCAAAGCCACGGTGTATCTGTGGTTTAGCTTTATTACAGGGTGGGGTTAATAAATGCTAATTAAAGATATTAGCCTCTTGCAAGCAGGGACATCAAGAGCTCAGATAGCATTCAGGGCTGGTTTCATTCATTTTCATAACAGGGATATGTGGGGGGGGGGGGAGAAGAGGCAAATAAGCAGGGCTGCCTGGGGAATTCTGGGAGTTGAAGTCCACAAGTCTTAAAGTTGCCAAGGTTGGGCCTCCCTGCCCTTCCAGACAGATGGCTATCCAGTCTCTTCTTGAAAATCTCCAGGAATGGAGCACCCACAACCTCTTCTATCTGTTACTTCTTGCNACAGAGAGAGAGAGAGAGACAGACAGAGACGGACAGAGAGAGAGAGAGAGAGACAGAGAGGGAGACAGAGAGAGAGAGAGAGAGACAGAGACAGAGACAGAGAGACAGAGAGAGACAGAGAGAGACAGACAGACACAGAGAGAGAGAGACAGAGAGGGAGACAGACAGAGAGAGAGAGAGAGACAGAGAGAGAGAGAGAGAGATTGTGTATCTGTCTAGGAGTGGATGTGTAGATGTGAAAGAGAGAAAGGGACTGGGAAAAGGAGGAAGGGAGGGGAGAGCTATGGGGCAGCTTTTGACCTTCAGACAGATGGTGGCCCCAGGGACAAAAACGAGGCCTTTGGGAACATCAATCAAACTCCGGACAGGAAAACAATGGGGTGAAATTCTCACCCGGCCCAAATTACATGTGTGTGTGGGGGGGGCTGCGTGTGCCTGTAATCACAAAGTAGCATCTGTTGGCAACCACAAAGCTCTTCGGACGTCCCCCATCCCACCAATCTAACCGGAGATGGCAAAGATGGGAGGGAAACACCACCAAATCTTGGAGGAAGTCTGGCGGACAGCAAAATCAAGCAAAAAACTCCTTAAGACACAACACATCTCCACCATATCATCCAGGCCAACTATTTCCGACGGCTCCTGTTGTAAGCATTTAAGCATTCCAAGTGCTTAAGGCACGTACCACCAGGGCTTTTTCGGAGAGGGAGCGCATTGGTTTGGTTGCGATTGGAAAGGACCGGCAGTAGGCAAGGGGTGGGTGGGGTCGCAAGTCCACCCAGGTTGCCACCAGCGAGGGAGGCTTAACCATCAGGAGATCTCGGGGGCAGGGGGAGAAGGCAACCTGTGTGGCTTTTTCTCACGCCGGCCGCTGCGTTTGAACAGAGTTTCACCCANAAGGAAGACAAAGAAAGAGAAAGAAAAGAAAGAAAGAAAAAGAAAGAGGGAGGTAGGGCAAAATGCAGGCAGGCAGGAGGAAAGAAAGAGAAAAAAGAAAGAAAGAAAAAGAGAGAGAGAAAAGGAAGGAAAGAAGGGAAGGAAGACAAGAAGGAAGAGAAAGAAAGAAGGAGAAAGAAAGAGAGAAAGAAAGAAGAAAAGGGAAAAAAAGAAAGAAGAGAATGGAAGGAAGGAAGAAAAAGGAAGCCATAATAAATACCTCCCCTTTTAGAATGGATGGAGTTAGCAAGAAGGGCAGCCAGGAAGCGCCAGCCTCAGCAGTTTCCGTGCAGCTGGGGGGGAGAAAGACGGACCAAATCTCTCTTCCTTCCAGCCAAGGCCGCGTCGTTATTTTCCAGTGTTTTGCCTTCCAGCCCAGACGTAAAGCGGAGCAGCCCCTGGTCTGGCACCAACTGGAGGCTGGCAGCTGAAAGGGAAGAGGAGACACATTCAAGGGGAACTTTCTGCCCCCCCTGCAGAAAGTTGGGGAGCCAACAGGATGTGGCGGGAACTGACTGGGCTCCCTTACACCGTCGTCATGACTTTGAGCGAGCCGGATCGGAAGCGCATGATTTTCTTCTTGAGTGCGTGAGAGGCCTTGATCTTGACGAAGACTTTGGGCTGCCCGCTGGTTGCCTTTCCTGGGCCGGATGCCGACACCAGCTGCGGGGAGAGCTGCTGCGGCCACACAAGGCCCCCGCTCTCGTCCGTATCGCTGGACGCGCCGCTGCTGTACGGCGGTGGCGAGTCCCCGTCACTCAGGCTGGAATCGCTGTCTCCACCGACCAGGCCCTCCTCCAGGCGGCACACGGGGGCCCTCCTGGCTGGCTCGCCCGAACACTCCGAGTCGCTGCCCGTATAGGTGTACCCTGTAGGGCCTGGCCCCTCTTGACCCCGTGGCGGCTCCATGGTGCTCCCGGGAGACAGCTCCTCTTGCGAGATCTCGGCTGTCGAGCTCCACTTGCGGTAGCCGCTGCCCACGTTTCCCTGCAACCGACGTTGCCGGGACTGTTTATGCGCTGATTCCTCCCGGTCCACGGTCCCGTATTTCAGCCTGGACCTGTTCAGGAGGCTGTTCTCCGACTGGGACCTGGCGGCCTTCTTGGATTTGGGGGAACTTTTCCTCCCGCTGCCCTTTCTCCCAGCCCCCTCGCTCCCCTCGTCTGTAAAGCGGCACTTCTTGGCGGGGGCCACCACCCGCGGCCGATCCCTCACCAGCAGAGGGACCCGCTCGGGTGACAGTTCCATCGAGCGGCCTTTGGTCAGGGGTGGGGGCTTCTTCCTGCCCGCCCGGTGAGCCTGCTGGGCCCAGGGGGGCTGCTGGGCAGGGATGTACTGGGCTTTGACCATCAGGCAGCCTCCTTCCTCCGACTCGTAAGAGACCGGCTCCTGGCCACTTCCCCGCGAGGACCCATCTTCCCGGTCCAAGAGAGGGGACGAGGGGTAGACAGTGTCGTAGTGGTCTAGGGAGGGAGCCCTCCCTTGGGCCAAGGCCTGCAGCTTAGGGGGCTTCCGGAGACTGGATGGTGGTGGGTGAAAGTCCTCCGCCATTCTCTTGGCGACCAAAGTCCTCTCGGCTGCAGCATCCCACGAAGACCAGACACGGGCGGTGGTGACAGGAGTGCCCCCCTCGTGTCCGCAGGGCGAAGGGGTGCTGCTGCCCCTCTCCATGGCCGGCGGGTGCCTACGTTCAGCCTGTACAGAGAGCAGATCGGAGGGCCGCTTGCAGAGGCTGCTCTGGCGCACGACGCCACCCTTGGCCAGCGGTTCCGAGCCGAGGCTCGTCCGGGGCTTACTGCCTCTGACCAGCTGGCTGCGGCGGCGGAGGAGGCGCGAGATGTAGCTCTCCACCCGCTGGCCCTGCGAAGCCGCCTCCGTGTAGAGCTGGAAGTCGTTCCCGTAGGCCTCCAAGTTGCCGTCGGGGTCCTCCGGGTAGGACAAGGCCCGGGAAGCGGCCGAGGAGAAGGCGGCGTCCTCGTACAGGGGGCTCTGGAAGAAAGGGCTCTGCAACGCCACCGCATGCAGGGGGCTGGGGTACAAGAAAGGGTCTGGGGTGAAGCAGGCGGGCAGAGGCTCGGCAGGCTGCTCTTGGGACGAGGCGTAGGGCGCTGAGAAGGAGCGTGGCATGGTGCTCCGTTGGGTCCTCTCCTTGCTGTTGTTGGCGACGTCCCCTGTGGCAGGAGAGAGAGAGAAAGATGGGCAGGTGGGGAGATGGACACCCACCCACACCCTGAGCTCCGAAGGCCAAGGGCGTCTCGGCATCGTCCTCACTGAATAAGTCTACCTTCGGGGCATCCGGGATGCTCTCTGGGCTGGCTTGTTGTCTTGGAGACATTTCATTACTGCAGCTAGGTAACACCATCAGTGCTGATATTGTTACCTAGCTGGGTCAAGAAACGTCTGCAAGAAAACCACCAAGCTCAGAGACTACCAAGGACCACAACTACCATCTCTCCTCCTCTTCTTCTTCCTCTTTCTTCTTCTACTTCTCCTCCTCCATCATGAAACATCTGGAAGAAAACCACCAAGCTCGGAGACTATCAAGAACCACAACTACCATCTCTCCTCCTCTTCTTCTTCCTCCTCTTTCTTCTTCTCCTCCTCCTTCTCCATCATGAAACATCTGGAAGAAAACCACCAAGCTCGGAGACTACCAAGAACCACGGCTACCATCTCTCCTCCTCTTTTTCTTCCTCCACTTTCTTCTTCTTCTCCTCCTCCTCCTCCATCATGAAACATCTGCAAGAACACCACCAAGCTCAGAGACTATCAAGAACCACAACTACCATCTCTCCTCCTCTTCTTCTTCCTCCTCTTTCTTCTTCTACTTCTCCTCCTCCATCATGAAACATCTGCAAGAACACCACCAAGCTCAGAGACTATCAAGAACCACGACTACCATCTCTCCTCCTCTTCTTCTTCCTCCTCTTTCTTCTTCTCCTCCTCCTTCCCCTCTTCCTCCATCATGAAACATCTGCCAGAACACCCCCAAGCTCAGAGACTATCAAGAACCACAACTACCATCTCTCCTCCTCTTCTTCTTCCTCCTCTTTCTTCTTCTCCTCCTCCTTCCCCTCTTCCTCCATCATGAA